GTTCGTGGTCTCATCGCTAAGGCAGGGGGAATGGTTCCTTTTGGAATTGCCACCTAAATATGCTAACTTCTTATCTTAAGAAGGCTTCCTAGAACTTTTTTAACATCAGAACAAAGTCTTTTTCCCAAGCTTGTAACAGCTACATTGTACAGAAGTATAGGAACTTAAATGTAAAAAAATCCCAAAGCCCTTCACCTGCTCTCTTCTCCCTCTTTTTCTTATCATTCTCTCCTGTGTTTTTTTCCCATTCAGTTCCATTTGTCTCCCCATTTCCTGCTTCCCTCCACATCTGCTTGGTCATTCACCCTGATCTTTTCAAGTTTATGACTTCATCTTCACCTTGCTATCTTAACTGGGGTACATAGCTCAGTAAACAGTTTGCCTTCCACTTTGTGTCTTAATGCAGATTTCACGGCTGTGGCTTCAGTAGATACAAGCCAAGAAGAAGAGGGTGCTCAAGCAGATGATGAATTGGCATTAACTTTGGCAAAGAAAGACAAATTGCACCCCTTCCCACATCCTCGATGGTCTACTAGAGTTTTTGCTGCAGAATGTGTTTGTAAAATTATTACCCAGTGTGAGAATGCAGGCAGTGCTCATTTTGACATAGCTTTAGCACAGGAAATGAAGCAAAGGGACTCAAGAGGTATGTGCTGATGTTGACTTAAATATTAACTGGAAAATGTCATGGAGTTCAAAGCACAAATAAATTTGATATTGATAAATAACCATTTTCATCATCATTTTTGTCACAATTTAGAAGAAATCTGTGTGCATTTAGATATAAATTACTACTACCTTATTCAATGAAACCATTCTGTTCAATATTAACTGTTGAAGCACTTCTAAAGACAAAGGATGGAGTGCCCAGCTATTTTCTTATAGGTTAAAGTTTTTACATTGCATGACCCACTGCTTATTATTTCTATGCATGCCTATTTTTGGAACCATATGACAACTCTATGCATTAGACAAGTATGAACTATATTCCCCAGAATTGTATTCCATAATAAACTATTGGTCTGTACTACTTTGAATGTAGTTTTAACATACAAGTTGCACATGTATAGGCTCTGCATAAAAATTTGACAATCTGTAGTTTTAGTACATGACTTACGGTGCAGCCAATTCTAACCTTCAATATAGATGTGTAAGAAAATACCTGACTCTGCTGGATCACATCATAGCACATCTTGCCACGCTTTCTGTACCAGTAGACAACCAGATGTTTTCAGGAAACCAAAAATGGCAAACCATCCACTAGTGTTGCTTTCTAAGTGCTGCTATTCAAGACATGCTATCCTTAGGACTGGTAGCCTCTGATCTTCCCCCATGAATGTTATCAGTCCCCTTTTAGTTTTAATACATCATTCTATATATTTTTATCATGTCTCCCCTTGCCCATCTTTGCTCTAAGCTTAAAAGGCCCAGACTTCCTTTTTAGGGAAGCTGATCTAGACTCCTAATGATTTTGGTTGTCCTGTTTTTGCAGTTTTTCCAGCTCCACAATAGCCCTTCATGGTGATCAGAACTATGTACAGTATGCCAAGTGCAGTTGCATTATAGATTTGTGTAAGAGTGTTATTATACTATCTATTGTGTTTTTAGTTCCTTTGAAAATGATTCCAAGCATGTTTCTTCTAGCCTGAGCAACACTGCTTCTTCCTGGGTTGACCTTTGAACCATGTCTTCAAAATCCCGTTTATGATCAATCACCTTCAGCTCAGGGCCCATTGATATGTGAAATTTGAATTTTTAGATAAATGTACATCACCATGTATATATTTACAGGGAATTGCATTTGCTTTGATGCACATTCACCCAGTTGTACAGATATACATTTGCAACTCTTTGGAATCATTGTATTGTATTACCTTGAATATTGGTATCATCAATAGACTTCGCTATTATCCCTAACTCCAGTTTATAAATTAAAAAATACTGATCCTACACCAATCTCTAGGCACTTCGAATATCTCTTCATTTTGAAAATTCTCCATTTAGTCCTAATTTTCTTTTCCTATTACTGTATTTAAACAGCTTTGAATCTATGAAAGCACTTGTTTTCAAATTCCATGGCAGTTGAGCTTGTTCAAGAGCTTTTGGCAAGGAACTTGCCCAAAATCCTTTTGGAAATCCAAATGTACAATGTCTAATATACAATATGTAGCCTGTATGCTTTGAACATCCTCAAAAATGTCTAGAAGGATAGTGAGATAAAATATAACCTTGTTAAAGTCATGTTGGTTCCTTTTTAGCATGGCTCATTCTTCTATATCATTGGTTCCCAACCTTTTCTATGCCCCACACCCCTAGAAATGTTTGATTAATGTTCGCACCCCCTACAAAAGTAATATCACATTTGAAGATGAAGAAGTCTAGTTTCTAATGCAGGTGAACAAATTGAACTTAAAAAAAATAAGCTTTTAACTCAGTACATAAAATTGTTGCACCCCCTGAAATTCCATCTCGCACCCCCTGGGGGTACGAGCACTCCAGGCTGGGAACTCCTGTTCTATATGATTAATTATTTATGAATTATATTATTAAAATATAATAATAATTATAACACTATATTATGAATACCCAGAATTCTGTTTTTTAAATAAGGCAGGATCTCATACATTCATACCTGTTTATCATCCCATTGATTGAAACACCTGACTCTAATTTCCCCCTTCAAATGAATTGATAATTCTAGAAGTTCACATACTTTTGCCAAACACAAATATGTAGCTTTGGATCATTTTCTTTAATAAGTAAATGAACAAGTATAAGGTTTTTGACTCATTTGTTTAACTGAGTTCTCTTTATCTAGTTTTATGACTTGTGTGGAGAACAGATCACGTTTTAGGTCATATTTATGCAGAAATATTGAAAATTCAAAAGAGTTCACAAACTTTTAAGTACCATTGTACCTTTCTATTTTGATCCATGTGATAGCCAGAGTCTTCCCACTAGGGAGGTCAGCACACACATCACATGCCTTTAATCATCAAATTCTTTACTACCGTAATTTTAAAGATGTGAAAGAAGAGGGGATAGGTAATGGGTATAAATATTCTAAAGTATCACAGTTTATTAAAATTAATTACATGTTACCAAAATAGTATTTCCTTTTTATCACACGCAGATGATTTCTTGGTATTGTATTTAGCTGACTTAATTCGTATGGCTTTTATGGCTGCCACTGATCACAGCAACGAACTTCGTCTTTCCGGACTTCAGATGTTGTTAATTCTTATTCGAAAATTTGCTGCTGTAGCAGAGCCAGAATTCCCAGGTCATGTAATATTGGAGCAATACCAAGCCAATGTAAGTAAATCTTGAGAGGAGTTTGTTGAAAAAGAAAGATCATGTTCCATATTCCCCCCTCTTAATATTTAAGACAAGAGTTAGAAAATATCATTTCTCATGTTTTAAAATTGATTGATTATGTGCCATCAAGTCATTTTCGACTCCTAGCAACCACACAGATAGATTTTCTCCATGATAGAATATTTTAGAATATCATAGGCTAAGTATAATTCAGGAGTTTGATAAAACTAAATTTGTTTTATGTGGATATATGCTGGTAATACTGTAAAATAAAAAATGGAGGGATATTTGATCACTGTTATTATTCAGCTTTCTCATATAACTATTTTAAGGAAATGAGTTAGCTTCCTTAAAGAATAGTTACTCAAAGGTTTTTTTTTTTTTTTAGGTTGGTGCCGCTCTTAGGCCAGCCTTTACCCCAGAAACACCACCTGATGTAACAGCAAAAGCATGTCAGGCAAGTTGATTGTTCCGCCCTCCCCCCCGGCTTCTGTTGATTCTTCTTCTTGTCTTCCTCCTCCTCCTCCTCCTCTTCCTGTCTTTAAGATGTGTCATTGAGTCTTAGCCAACCATAGATAAAACATGATAATGGAAATAATGAAATATTTGTCTCTTAAAAACTAGGATCACCAATTCAGAGAGAGGACTGTTTGGGCCACATATTCATATACTTTTCATAGTCTTTATTGCCATTCATTTTTAGGATTATTTCTAATAACTCCTTTGGTCAGTTCATTACCCATTTGTATGAATAGGGGACTTATTCGTTTGATTTGCTTAAAGGAAATGTAATTCTGATTTTATTTTTGCATTATACGTTGGAAACTGTTATATAAATAAACCAAAGTGTATAAATGCAAGATAATTTGCACGCATGCTCTGTAGCATTGCATTAGAAATAACCAGAAGCAGTCTAATCCGGAGTTTTATAGGCACAGAAACCAACTAGAACCCCACAAATAAGACATGAGGCAAGGGCATAGTCCCACTTATATATCAATAACTAATATAAAAGGTTTATTGCACTAGACAAAAAGTAACCACATTATTTGGTGTTGTATTTATACTAGGTTTGCAGTGCTTGGATAGCAAGTGGTGTAGTAAATGACCTTAATGACCTTCAGAGAGTTCATCAGTTGCTTGTGACATCCTTGTCAAAAGTACAGGCTGGAAAAGAAGCACAAAATCAACTATACAATGAAGGGACATCTACTATGGAAATACTCGCTGTACTAAAAGCTTGGGCAGAGGTATTTCTTTAAAAATATGATTTTATCAGTGCTTTGGAACTAATAGTTATGGACTAGAACTGTGAGTTTAAAAACTGGAATTAGAGTTCTATTGATTTGTGTTTGATTTCTTTTCAAGTCAGGCCTTTTACAGTAAGTTTCTTAGCCAGAAAGTAATCTTAACCTACTTTAATTAATAAAGTTATTGCATTATCTACCATTTGTTCTCAAGTTGGGATAATAAATGCATGGTATTTTTAATAGGGTTCAACATATATAACATGCATTATATGCAATAAAATGTTGTTTTGACATTAAAAGCATGTAATATAAATTAAAGCCTTTTGTTGGAAACACAATTCTTTTGCCCTCTGTCCAATACTGTACAACAAGGGAAGAAGCACTGTTGTTGCTACAGCAGTCCTACTCCTAATAACAGAGAATGAGGAAAACACTGTCCTGGATTTTTTCCAACCTGTTCATTCTGGCATTGTCTCCTTGTATCTGTTTTCATTCTTCCAACGACAGGCAAATTCAACCTGTCTCAGAAAGAATAGGAGAAGTAGCTGAGTTTGTGACATCTTGCTTTGTCTGTATGTGTGTACCTTCAAGTCAGTATTGACTCCTGATGACTGCCTGGACAAGTCCCTGCAGTTTTCTTGGCAAGATTTCAGAAGTGGTTTGCCATTGCCTGCTTCCTGGGGCTAAGAGAGAGTGACTTTGCTTTATCTAGCAAGATGATGATGATGATGATGATGATGATGATGATGATGATGATGATGATAGTAATAGTAGTAGTAGTAGTAGTAGTAATAATAATAATAATAATAATAATAATAATAATTGAGCTCCTGTGCGCATGAATGAACTCTTTTATTGTTCTTATTATAAGAAAGTTTTGATAATAAGTTTTACAGCTGATTGTACTCACTATCAGAATATTGCAAACAAATCATAAACCTCAGGAAAATCAGTAAACGGGCTTTGAAGACAGTAACCTTTCTCTACTGTTGCTTACCAGCAGCTGGCAATCCATGTGAGCACTATAACTGGTGTTTGATTTTTCTATCCAAACTTTTACTTGGTAACAACTTCAAAGCTCCATTTGCTCTCTTTATTTCAAACAGGTTTATATAGTTGCCTTACAAAGACAAAAGAAACAAAATGACATCAATAGTCTACCTTTGGTTAAAAACATTACAGAGGAGAGTTTCCGAGATCCATGCTCTTCAGTGGATGAACTTCTGGATTTAGTCCAAGTGGATCTAGGGAATCTGAGCAAACTCTGGCTTGCTGCACTTCAGGATTTTGCTCTCTTAACTTTGCCTTCAGAATTTGCTTCTCAGCTTCCCTCTGAAGGTAAGAAGTCAAATAAAGCAAACGTTATTATCGAATCCATTTGACAGGCATAGATTCCACAGAACCTGAGCCTCATTTCCTAACTTAAACTGCTGCTGCTGCTCCTGCTGCTGCTGCTGCTGCTACAGAGAACAAAAATAAATTTTAAAATGACTTTGTAGATATATCAGCAGAAGCTGCCAGTTAGATCGCAAAGTGAAAACAGAGAAGTTTACTGAATGTTTATTTGAATTGTATTTGTTTTTTGAATGATATAAATCATGTCTCTGACTCTTCTCATCATTTTATCATAAACTGTAAAGATATTTGGAGATATTTGAAGCACACTGAACATTTACTGTTTTTGTAGGTGGTGCTTTCTATACTGCAGAAACAATTGAAAATGCAAGACCACATTATCAAAATGCCTGGGCCCAGATTCTTCATGCTACTGCATTATGGCTTACCAGCACTGGTTTTCTAGTTGGTGATTCAGATGAAGTTCTAACTAATCTTTCACGGCCTGTTACTCCTACTAGTATGTGTCAAGATTCAACATCTAGGGCTGCTATAAAATCACCTGAAGATTTGAATACTGATAGATTTCATCTTGTTCTGGGTTAGTGAGTATGTGAACTTTTCCTTATCATATTTTCACAGACTGTTTTTGCCAGGTTCACTGAACATTGCTATGAGTTTAGGTCAAGAATGATTATCATGCCACAATTAATAAAATTGCCTTACTGCATGGAATTAGTTCAGAATATCATACTACTGAATCAGACAAATGGCTTATTTTCTTGAGCGCACATAACAGAATTATGTTTGTAATTGAATTTCTGCTACTGTCTTTTATTTTTGCTTATGAAAATTGAGTTTGTATCCATAGTTAAGCATTATTATTTACACTGAATGAGAGACAAAAAACTGAGGCTAAATCCTGGCAAGACAGAGGGATTGAATTAGCAATTCTCTGATCTGGGAATTAGGGGCATTAATTGTTCTGAGTTGGACAGCTTATAAATGAAATAATTAAATAACCTGCTTCTTGCAAATGTGCATTTCCTCTGAAAAATAAGGTCTATAAGGTCTTTTAGAATAATTACTGTAAATGGAACCACAAAGAATGACTTTTCCAGCTCTATCCAAAGTCCTATAGTGTTTAAAACCTAGATACCTTACAAAGAACCTTTTTCTCTTACTGTATCTGCTAAGATATGAAGTAAACCACATTTCCAAAGTGTTTACAATAGGCCACATGAGAAAGGCCAATTTTGATACAGAAACACAAATTCTGGAATTTGGTGCCAACTAATGGGTTATCAGTTTATTCAAGCCATTGATTCAACTTTATGCTGTACCTTCAGTTTTCTGTCGATTATTCTGATTGTTCTGACTGCATTGTAGGCATTTTTAGAGAATGTTATTGACAGTGGTTTTATTGTAAATTGTTTTAATTTGTGGTATCATACTTTGCTTTATCAGTTAAAAGTGAATCATAAATTTTATAATTTTTTTAAAGTAATGTTTAGTTCATCTAATATTCCCTGACCCCACTTCCTTTAGGGATTAGTGTGGAATTTCTCTGTTCTCCCCGGTCAGATGAAGCGATGGAAAACATTACTGCTTGTCTACATGCCCTGCAGGTCCTGCTTGATGTTCCCTGGCCAAGATCTAAGATTGGAAGTGATCAGGTAATATTCAAAAATTCTGAGTTAGTTCAGCTGGATATTATGAATGCTTTTGCCAGATGTCTGTAGAAACTGCACCTTCCCTTATGTCTCTCTTAACTCATGATATAGGCATAATGTGACAGCCAACTGAACAGTCTCTGCAATAAAGTAACTTCTGTAGGAAGCAGTAGTGAAAAGTTGTTACACCTTATAGGCCAGGTATAGATAACCTACAGCACTGAGCCCTCTTTCTTTTGGTGGTCTTTGGCTCTCTCCAATATCATGAAGCTGAAATTTGCAGTGAACAATCAGATCAATAATGGCACAGAATCCTGCTGCCTTCCTCTTAAAAAATAAGAGAGAAACACAAGCTAAAACTTTGCCTTTGTTCTTCCCTCGGACACCTCATTGTATTCCCACTGAACCCACTGCAGTCCACAGAAGATGAAAATTATTTTTAAAAACAGTGCCTACCCAAAGGCCTGCAAAGAATCTCTGACATGTATTCTAGTTGTGATGTGTTGATAGTGTTTGACACTGAAAACATGAATCTTCAGGTTTGAATCAAAACAAGTATTTCTGGGCAAATCTCTTACACTCATTCTAACCTACCTTAAATGTATTAAATATGCTGTATTAGAATTTAAATAAATGGTCTGGTATATTTCCCTTTATATAGGAGCTGAGTGTTGAGCTGTTGAATGTTTTACATCGGCTTATACTGACTAGAGAATCCCCAGACATTCAACTTGCTGCACTAGAAGTTGTTCAGCAGATTCTTTTTGCAGCAGAAGAGCATGTGAAGGAAAAACGGAGAAGTGCAGAAGGTATAGCCATATAATAGGCTGGATCAAATTTCTTATGAATTGCTTCATTTTAGATGAAAAAATACTGTAGCATTTTCTTCATTTACTCACAGTAGTATACTCTGAGTTCATGATTTTGAATCATTTCTGTATTTGTTGCAGATTAAAATTTATGGGTAAGATCGAGAGGGGATATTTATTAGCAGAGAGTAATTTAACGAATTCCTCTTTTTTACTTTTATAATTGGCTTGGCTGTTAAATATAGTAATTATTTGATAGAATGACCTCAGATAGTTGTAACAAAAGGCATTGTATTTTATTCTACATGCCAAAACAAATAAATGATGTTGCTTCTCTTATGAGTAACTGTGGACCTTACAATTCTGTAAAGAACTTTGGATTGTTCAACAAAGAATTCTCAGCATCCTTACAAAATTAATTTCTAGCATTCAGGATAGATGACAAACCTTGCTTAGAGACGGCAATGGGGACTGCCAGAATTGCCATCACTAAGCAATGTGGTCACGTGATGTCACGCTTTATGACCTCAATTACCATCATTTTTTTTTAATAAAAATTTTATTAAGTTTCAGACAAGAATAAAATACACAATGACATCAAAAGAAAAGTAGAAAAGAAAGAAATAGATAAAGGAATGTGAGGAGGAAAAAAAAGAAAAGGGGAGGAAAGAGAAACAGAAAATAAGGAAAGAACAACTTCTGGCTTTCTTTGGTTCAGCTATAAGTAAAATAATATACTAACTTCTTACTCTAGTAATATCAATAAAACACAGTATTTCTATAACAAAACAATTCTAAATATCAGATCTCAAAGTCAAAATTTCATTTCTTTCAGTTACAAGCAAAAATCCCAAAAGTAATTTCTAAATAGAAACAAAGTTAAAAAAAAATAATGCAGACATATTATCCCAAGGACCCTACCAACATTGGAAGTATCAGTTGATCTACCATTATTAAACACCTAAGCCTATTTATTTTCTATAACAATAACATCCATAAACATTATCATACAATCCCAATCCAAGAATAAATTCCAGTATTACCAGTCCAAAATCATAACTCGTGCATTTTAACCTTGGTCCCATAAGTCCATTTTATTCCTTTTTCTTCTTTTCAGGAGCTTAACATTTAATATTTTCTTCAAGTGAAATCTCAAGTAGTAATTTATTGTCACTTTGTCCTTTTTAGTATCAAAGACATCTTCAAAGGGTTAATAAGTCCTTCCTGTGCATCCAAAAAGAGAAAAAAATCTCCAAAATATTCTTCTGCTTTATGGTCTGGATATTGTCAAAGAAGATTTCTGTTGTAAATTTGTTCTTTATAAAAGAACTCATTATCTCCAGGCTCAAAATAAACTAAATCATCCAGCTCTGCATCCAAATCCAGATCTCTTTATTCCAGTTTTCTGTTCTGAAGATTGCCTTACTTCACACCATGTAACTTCATCAGTATTCTTATTTTCAGTATCCAATTCTGTTTGTAAATCAATATCACTATCAAATCTGTCTAATTTTTTCTTAAAAGCTTCAAATTTAGTTTCTATCACTTGTAAAATTCTAGTAGTCAGATCTTCTAGTAAATGTGTATCACTTTAAATTCCCTTTGCTGAACTGCAGCCATAACAAACCTTGCAGACAGAAAAAAGAAATGGGTAAAAAGCAAGGTCTCAGAGTACTTTTGCTTACAAAGCTCCTCCAATCAATATCTCAGCAAAGTTTAAAAAAAGGCAGCATTCCCACAGAAAGCTTCAACCAGCAATCTCAAGCTCCAGTCTCACAAGTATACATTCAACAAAATTAACTTTTTAAAGTCCAAAAAACAAATTCACTTGTTTCATAAAAACACCCAATAATTCTGCCCTTCGAATCTTTGCTCAATATATAAATCCCAAAGTCCAAATCTGTTTGTTTGTTTTTAAGTAAGCATTGAAAATATGAAAAGCACCAAGAAGATACTTATCTGTTGCCGAAAAAAGCCTCTCTTCATCTGAAAAAGTAATAGACCATTTAAAATGTGTTTTAGAAATGGGGAGGTCAGCTTTAGTGTCCTAAATTTCAGCTATGCCACAGCCTTGAACAGGATGGAAAAGCCTGTCTCCCAACTGCTCACCGCAAGTCAATCACAAAGACTTCTGCTTCGGGGTCTCCTTGCAAGAAATGGCTGCCTGAGAGCATCTGGGTTGGTTTCATGGATTCTCCTTTACACTCGGAGAATTCCTCAGGCTACAGGGATCCTGCCCTAGCCCCCACAGCTGTGGCTTCGATTTCCAAACAGAGGAACCAGTTAAGCTGCCATTAAGTCCCCTACCGGAAGTCCACAATTACCATCGTTAACCAAGCACTACCTGTAGTATGTTTCATTCAGTATATTTTTGCAGTTGTATGCCACAGAGAATATCACTGCATTAGAACTGGAATACACCTGAAATACAATTAGTTGTGCTTTTATAAAGATGATTACAAATACTGACACAGTTGAAGAACCTAGACTAAATTAGTGATGGCGGGCAACTTTTAGTGACTGAAAGATGCCCACTTTTACACTAAAATAATCAGTCAAGGGCTGTGGGGAGTATAATAATAATATAAAGACATCACTAGTATAGGCACCTGCAGGAGATGGGCAAGGGAGAGTACATGATTTTGAAAAAATGTAAAGGGTACATTAAGCATTAGACCTGTTGGAATCGTAAAGCTCGTATTACAATTTTTCCTTCATTTCTTGCCAGAAAGAGTAGGAAATCGTGCTTCTGTTCACCACTGAGTGTCCTTAGTATAATCTAGGGGGATGCGCTCTGGAGGTTCCACACGCCACTCTGCCCTGTCGGTCCCAGTCTTTGTTTCACATATGTAGTTCATTTAGGAGAATCTTTCTTTATAAAAATATGTCAACATTATCCCTCATGGGCGCTTATATTTATGAAGTACGTATAGGATCTATATTTATAAATGAATTTACCTCTGAACATATCATTGCTGTTGGTTCTGATAGCATAGATTATTTACATACCCGATCATCATTAGTATAGAAGTGCCATGTGTACAGCTCTAGATGTTGAAGATTTTTAATGCCACAGAAGGCACTTTTTTGCCTTTCATGGAGATGGGGTGTCTAGAATGGAAGCCTCTTTGGATGCATGGACTGCATCAGTGACTACAGGGAGTGTATTCCGTCCAACAAACTACAACGCTGCAACCAGATGCTATTTAGGAAGCTTCAAAGAGGAATTTCTGTCAACAAAAGATCATCTTTACCTTTTGTTTCACTGTAGTTGATGATGGGGCTGAAGAAAAGGAGACATTGCCAGAGTTTGGAGAAGGCAAAGATACAGGAGGACTTATACCTGGAAAGTCTTTAGTCTTTGCAACACTGGAAATGTGTGTTTGCATTCTTGTACGGCAGCTACCTCAGCTTAACCTGAAGATAACAGGTAGCCCTGGAATTACATCTGGAAAACCTCGGCTGTTATCAGAGGATGGAAACAGATTGGTAGCAGCGGCACTGGGAATCCTCTCTGGGGTTCCTGCAGTCTGCTCACCAGAAGGTAGGATGAAATTCCGCTGTACATTTTATTTGCAAAAGAAATAAAGAGGCAACATGTGAAGCGAAACAGATATATTTAAGCCACAGACTGAGAAGGACCTTAATTTATTTTCCCCGTTTTGTGAATTGAAAGTAATTTATTGAAACAATGAGAAGTAAATTCAGACAACTTCAAGCAACTGGTGTGTGCTTTAAAAAGACCCAATGAAAGGTCTATATAGATAAGGTATAATATCTTTTGCAGCTCTGGCTTAAGTAGTCATCTCATACAAAAGTATTCTTATGGAAGTCAACTCTTAACGTATTATCAGTATTATTAATTAAAATAGGTATTTACGTTTCTCTTTTTATCCATGTTTATTAAAATATAACAATTTAAGTGAAAAATGTTATCGTAACAGTTCTGTATACTACGTAGCTGCCATAAGTGTTCCATAATGGATTCACGTTAGTAAAACTGCTACTTCCATTTTACAGAACAAGTAAAACAGTACACTATTCTCCCAAGTTTTAAACAAACAACAACAAAAAAGGACAAAGCAGAATCCTTAAAGTGTGGTGCTCCTTCCCTCTCCTTCACACCAGGTTTTGTAAGAGTGTCAAAAATATTATATCAGGTACACTGAAAGAAACTACAGTTTAAACTATGGTTTATGGTTTACCATTTTTATACAGATTAATTTTGGGAGCTATCAATTGATCTGTTGCCATCTTTCACCACTTCCTAATTATTCAGTGCTGATTCAGATGGATGGAGCTGATCACAGCATGCTTCTTTCAGTACTATTTTTTAATTAGTTAGCATATTTGAAAGCATTTATGGGGTGAAATAGCACCTCAGAATAAGGCTTATGTCAGCAATGGGGAAGCTGTGCTCTCCAGATACTGAAATGTAGTTTGTACCATCCCTTGGCTTTGGCCATCCTGACTAAAGCTGTTGCGAGACTACAGTGCAGCAGCAACTTGTTTAAGTTGCATAGGAAAAATGGTGCTTTGAAAATGTTTTACAGAAAAATGGGATTTTTCACTGAAGAGAAAAATTAGAGATTCTTTGCCAGTACTGAGTCAATTTTATTAATCGATAGTAATTCCAAATAGTTCATACTGATCAGTGGTTGAATAAATATCAGATCAGTAAGAGAGTCTCTCTGTGTTATGGTTGCAGTGTGATTATTTTTCCTCAATTAATCTCTCAAATACTTGTGTTAGCATTAAGTGGATGCTTAATTTAGAAGTGAGAATTCTTATTAAATACAACATTGAACTTGGAATAATGTAGTTCTAATAAATGCACGATGAAACTCTTTGTTTTGTTCAATGCATCATGCAAAATATGTATATTTTTAACAATCATATTTATACCATGCATTTGCCATATCCTTCAGGAAGCATTGCTGTTCTTCCTACTATTTTATATCTGATTATTGGAGTCCTCAGAGAAACTGCTGTGAAGTTACCCAGTGGCCACTTTCCTTTGACTGTTGCTGCATCACTGCAAGCTCTTAAAGGAGTCCTATCATCACCCATGGCTCGGGCAGAGAAGAGCCGAATGGCTTGGAATGAATTGCTCCGTAGTGCTTTGGTCACCATTCTTAATTTTTGGGATCAAGGTACAGTATGCGTGGGAAGAAAAAGATCTCCTGACATATGTGGTATAAGTATTGTATAGACCATAACAAATAATATGTCATGCTCAATCCAGTAATATCCTACTTGGGCATAAAATAAGTAGCTACTGTTGCTTGAAAAGAGTTTTAGTTACTTGGAGAGCGCAAGTTACTTCTTTTTGGCATACCTGCTGTTTGCCTCTATATTCTCATAGCCTCTCTTTTGTTCCTTTCCTAATTGAGTTTACTTTTTGCATCCCCACTACAGCAGGGTTCCTCAACCTTGGCAACTTTAAGACGGATGGACTTCAACTTCCAGAATTCCCCAGCCAGCAAGGCTGGCTGGGGAATTCTGGGAGTCGAAGTCCACCCGTCTTAAAGTTGCCAAGGTTGAGAAACACTGTTTCTGAGAGATGCTGGGCAATCACTTTCTCTCAGTCCAGCACTAAAGAAGGATGGGATGTCAGTTTAATCAATAAGTAAAACTAGAACTGGAGCGAATCTAGCACAAGTCCACCCTTAGCTATGGAAGGTCACATCACGACTTTGGGCTAGGCACTTTAATGCACCTCATAGGGTTATGGTTGAGATAAAATAGGAAGGAAGGCTAAGTAGGCCACCTTGAGTTCCTAGAGGTAAGTTGGGTTATACATCTAATAAACAAATAAATAAAAATAAAATCTCCTTCTGGGGGACTCCAGGTTTCAGCCATGATTTCCATGGTTGGGACCCCCTAAGCAGCTTGCTGGTGATGTTTCTAGATTCTGGTGAATTGGGTGCTATATGAATGGAGGCACATACATAAAATACACAGATGTGCAAGAGAGGGAGTGAGAAAATTGGTGGTGTGTGCCTGTGTGGTTGGTAAATGGGCACGTCATTGATAAATTCATTTCATTGACCTTAGGTCTGAAACAAGGAGGGAAAGGTCATTCATTCTACTTCATTCTTTTAAAAAAAGCCTGACACCTAAAATGCTTTTGGCTATCAGCTGATTCTGCATTTTTTAATTTTTAAGTGGATTTTATAATTAGGAGCGCCAGTCTTGCCTTTATTACGTGAGCTGTTCCTCAGTCTGACAAAGGGAGCAGATACAAACCCTGCAAAAGGAATAAATAAAAGGCAGGCAGGAAGGGCTATTTGTGTGAATTGAACTGCCTGGGATTTCCCAGTTAAGTCTACTTTGTCTTAATGTTACTGCAGGGTGTCGGTAGGAGGGGGGCAAGGGGAGACCAACTTCCAGAGAATTTTACATTCCCAACTTTTGACTTCTTCTAGTCTGCTAAGCATTGCTCACCCATGTTTTGAAGCCTGCTGTTGAAACACTAATGTAGCTGTTGGCCTAAATGAAGCTTCGCACACACATTTAGCAACTCTGCATCCTCTTGAAGCCGGTGAAATGCATTCTCGTGCAGACATGTCCCATATTTACTGGAAGATAAATTAATTCCTTTCCTCCCCCCCTCCCATTTCCACCCAGTTCTCCCCCCCCAAGCAGCATCCAGCTGGAACATCATGATGCAAGTCCTGCTCCTTTAGAACATGTGTGCAATGCGTGTACAAAAGGAGCGGGGCTTGCCTTGCAATGCTCTATGCACCACTTTGTCAATGTTGACACCTTCCCCAAATGCTTCTGTTTCCCTTCTTTCTTTTCCCTTCCTTTCCCGGTGCAGCTGCCGTTTCTCCAATCGGCGTTTTCTTAGGTGCTGCTTTTCTGGGAGGCGGAGAGGGGGGGAAAGTATGTGCTGGGGGGTGTACTTGTGTTTTTGTGTGTGTGATAGAGAATGGTGGGTATTAGGGCTGTGTGGCACTTTCGAATCAATCTCTGAAAATGGGTCTTCTGCAGATAGTACGATGCAGTCCTAGTTGACAAGCGCAGATGGGGAAATCCATTGATTTTTACAAACGGGATATTTTCCCAGGTTGGGACGGTCCTTCAGGGCAATCTTGATTCTGGATGACTACCTGGACAGGCCTGTTTGGGTTTTGCTACATTTTCAGAAAGGTACTTCTGAAAGGACCTTCTTCCAGGGTGTTTTTCAAGTTTCCAATCTGTAGCTGAGCGAGCGACTAGCTCCAAACCACTGAATTGGCTTTGACACTTGAAGGAAAACTTCTTAAAATTCAGGCTCCCTGCGCCTAGTCCGCCACTTTTAACCATGACACCACCATGGCTCTTATTCTACAAGCAATTAATTTTAATCAGTACAGGCAGTCCCCAGGTTACACAAGGGTTCTGTTGCAGGAGCCCGCATAAAAACCAATTTTTCCAAACATTAGACCAGTGTTTCTCAACCTTGGCAACTTTAAGCTGTGTGGACTTCAACTCCCAGAATGCTGGCTGGGGAATTCTGGGAGTTGAAGTCCACACAGCTTAAAGTTGCCAAGGTTGAGAAACACTGGTCTAATGTTTGGAAAAATTGGTTTTTATGCGGGCTCCTGCAACAGAACCCTTGTGTAACCTGGGGGGAGTTGAAGTCCACACAGCTTAAAGTTGCCAAGGTTGAGAAACACTGGTCTAATGTTTGGAAAAATTGGTTTTTATGCGGGCTCCTGCAACAGAACCCTTGTGTAACCTGGGGGGAGTTGAAGTCCACACAGCTTAAAGTTGCCAAGGTTGAGAAACACTGCATTAGATCCTCTGCTCTCTGGGTGTGTGCATATTTGTGCAAAGCGTCAGCCCTGGTTTTTGCATCTCATGTGTAAAGTCAGGGCTTAGGTAACTCAAGGACTGCCTAAAGTTATTCATTCAATTTTTTTTACCAACTCTCCCTTGTTTGAGAATATGGCTTCTGGCAGGTTACAGACATACGACCGTCAGTAAAAAGAGGCTGAACTCTGACCCAAGGCACAGTTTTAATGAGTTGGAGGGAGTCTCCAGGGCTGGTTTCAAGCTGGACTGGCAACTATAACGTGACCAGGTGGGGAATTTGGGCATTTCCCTAGATTCTCCTCTGTGTTTATATATTATATATATTTCTGCCTACTTTTCCTTTCATGGCTACCGGACAGCAAATCATCTTAAACTCAAGCTGAATTCCTTTTGGATAAATGTTTTCTAAATTAATCGGAGCCCCCAAGCCACTTGACAAGGAGAAACTTCTGAGAGAAGCACCGAGTCAACAAGGAAGCCAACAGGGGCAAAGTAAGTTTGGGGAGAGAAGAAGGAATGGCACGAGAAGTGTACAGGCACCCTCGCGGACACATGGCCAAGGAAGAACAAGTAACTCACTGCCTTCCCTACAATTCAAGCACAGGAGCAAAGAAGGAATTGCAACGTATCGTGTCATTTGAGGAAATAAGAGAGACCTTCTACCTCGTCCTGGTCTTGCCAAGTGACAAAAACAGTGTCTGTATTTACATTTTGGAAGTTAAAAACAGGTTTTGTTTGGCAGGGACACCAAGCTGATCCAGTTGTTTCTACCCAAGCAAACCCTTCCAGCCTCGTTCAGAGAGGGTGCCAGGCTAGAGATCCATCAAAGATGGCCACGTGTACATCAAGATGGATGAGAAGAGCTGGCCCCTGGGTTTCTCTAGCTGGGGAGATCCTGCTACAGCACCACCCGCTTCTTCAACAGGACCAAGGTCTGCTGTGTTTCTCACTCCCTCCTGCAAGTATTTAAAGAAGAGTCACCTTGGAGGGACAAAACCTGGGCATTGGGAGAAACCCCCTCCCGCCACTGGGTCCCCAGGTTGGGCCTGGTTTAGTTCTTCTCCTGCTTTTGCTGCTTCAGAGCGTGCAGGAAGATCTCCTTCACCTGTCCCACGGTGTCCTGGTACACCCGGAAGTCTTCCTCCTTGATCCTGACGGTGTCTTGCAAAGCGTTCTTCAGGCCTTCGTTCTCATCCACCTGGATTGCAAGCCTACACGGAAGGAAACAGCTGATTGATCTTGATACCTGACTGAAAATACAAGCTGGGGACAGGGCTTACCTTTCTCTAGGGCAGTGCTTCTCAACCTCAGTGGCTTTAAGATGCGTGGACTTCAACTCCCAGAATTCCTCAGCCAGCCATGCTGGCTGGGGAAT